CAAATGTTTGTGGTTAGGTGAACCACATCGACTCGCTGCTTTAAGTATCCTTACAATCTAGGCTATATATATTTAGATATATGCATGTGTTTCCTTATAATTAAAAGATATTTATGCTGTAAAAGAGTCAAAGAAGAGAAAAAACAGAAAAATGTAAAAATTTTAGTTTTTTGTTTGTATTTTAATTATTTGCAAAAATAATATTTATATTGTCATAAAATATAAAACCGTTATGATTAACAGTTCAGCTTTTACTTACTACTTTTACCACCTTATTTTGCATATACGTAAATTACTTAGCTTACCCCAACAGTAGATAGTTGATCACGTCATTTTTCAGTGATACGATTTCTAATAGAATTATAGAAGAAAATTATAGCAAGTAGAGGGAAATACCACAGACCACCATAATAAGAGAGAAGTAGCTTAGAGCACCCTRCCTGCGATGTTGAGCTGGAAAAACAAGCTTTCACCTGCGTATACCTAAGCTTACCTGAGGCGTTGGCATGTAAAACTGACAATAGGCACTTACATACTGTTAAAACCCATTAGAAACTTTAGGGCGTCCACAGAGTGGACGCTCAAAGCCGAGCCGAGCGTAAATTCGCGTGTTGCTTAAATGGGAAAATGCGCTCGGCTCGACTTCAAGCGTTCACTCTATGAGCGCACTTATGCTTATAATTCTGCTTCTCATTGCATGGAAGTGGAAATGGACTTAACCTTACTATACCAATGAGTTTCTGAAGTGTTCAAGCAACCTCAAACGATATGAAAAACTAGACTTTCGTTTAATGAAAACTTTCATTTTAAATGTTTAAAAGACAMATTTTGATTTTTCGTTGCATTCATTGGCGGTCTAACTCGTAACGAAACATCGCAAGCCTTCAATTTTCATTCTAACACAGGAAAGTCACAGAAATAATGAAAGCTTATAAAAAACAGCGAATTTATGTAAGCACACATAAAACTTTAAGTATATAAAAGCTCTGACTTTCGAAAAAGTRCTCAAGTCATGAAAGTCTAAACTGCAAAGCTTACATTTTAAAGCTTTTTTTCAAGTATATGTATGAAAGCTCTGACTTACGAAAAAGCAGTCATGAAAGCTCAAACAGCAAAGCTTACGTTTTATTGCGTTTTTTATTAAATAGCTTGGAATTTATGAATGTTTTGACTTACGTATGCTTTTGAAAATGAATTGAAGTAGATTTAATTATTTTATATAAACAATGTACGAAAATATCTTCAAAGTGTTGAATGCTTTGTATTTTGTCTAAATTCATAACGATTTGAGTAACAGAAGGTCTTTAAAGAAAGCTTTCACTGAACAAGCTATTTAAACTGRTGAAAGCTTGAACTTTTGAAACARTTTTCTGTTTACTTAAAAACACCAAATCGTTAACAAGCTATGAAAGCTCAAACAGCTAAGCTTACATTTTTTTTAAATAAATAGCCTAGAATTTATAACAGCTTTGACTTTCGCATGCTTTAGAGAATTAATTGAAGTAGATTTAATAATTTTRTATAAAAAATTTACGAAAATATTTTAAAAGTTTTGAATGCTTTCTATTTTCAAAAAGTTAAGTCCTAAAACACTAAATTCATAACGATTTAGATAACTAAAGGTCTTTAAAGAAAGATTTCACTGAACAAGCTATTTAAACTGATGAAAGCTTGAACTATTGAAACAATTTTCAGTTTACCTCAACGACGAATTTCTTGATAGATATTTTAATATAATTATCTTGATATTTTCGAAATCTATGAAAGCAAAAGCTCGAATTTTAAAGTTTCAACTTTCATTCAAAACAATCTGAAACTTCAGAGCAATACCAACRATCTAACACAGTTTGTAATAGTAGACAGTAGTAGTGAGACTTTGAGGAGTAGTAAGACGTCTATAAGAAACAAATCAAGCTTTTGCCAAATTAAACTTTATACTCTTGGGAAGTTCTACAACTGCTGAAGGAAAAATCATTACCATATCTTAAAAGTTAGGGAGTTATTGATTACATTGAGCAACTTTAGAGCGAGGAGCCCCCTTTTTATAATATTGAATATTGTTTTTTTTTTGTCGAACAACATTTCACTTCCCCTTAAATACACGCTACAAGTCCTTGCTGCACACAACATTCTTCAGCTAAAAATCTTATACATATATCTATGTAATCTTTGATGGCAAGTGTAAAAGCTTTGATTTCATTATATATATTATTTTCGTGAAAATTTTAGTAAAAGTATTAGTAAATCCATATTTTCTTTGAAAAATGTAGGAAACATATATCCAATTTTAAATTTTTTATTATTATTTTTTAACAATTGGATATCCTTTGATTTAAAAATATCATTTTTTTTTGTTAAGAAATATAATATCGAATAAAACATTTATTTTAATATAATATATTAACGGACTTATATCCACTTGTGCAATTGAAAAAACAATTTTTTTATGATAGTGTAAAATTGTTTTAACGAAAGCTGTTTTCAGAGTCGGTTAGTAAAATTTCAAAAATTAAAAATTTCACTAATGCTTCGATCACTACCTGCATTCATCTATAGTAAAAATGAATTTGATTTTTGGAGTTGAGATAATTTTAAACAGAAAAATCCTCCTCACTGCCGGACACCTTTTCGCGGAGATGCTCCTGCAGATTGGTCACGGGATCAAAGAAAACATCAAACTCTGCACCGATTATTGATACAGTTAGAATTTTCAAAAATCAACTTATTTTATATTTTATTCTCTTAATGTACATATATCTAAGAATGCACAGAGAAAATTTCATATGGTTTCGGCGAATATTTTCGATGTTACGCGAAAATTTGAATAGGTGACCGACGTTACTCGAAAACGACTAAACCTATTAGTCACAAATTTTAACACGAGCTTCTTAAATATATTTTTTTAGTAATTTTTTTTTTTGTAATCAATAAATATTTGTATAATAAACAACTTGAGTCCGCAATTTTGATCAAAAATCGATTTTGTAGAAACCGTAATTTTTAAAAAAATTTTATTTTGCTTATTCCAATTACTAGATTTAACGTTACTTTAACCAAATCAATTTTTTTTTTTTTTTTGTTTTTTTTTAATTTTAGAGTACTCAGTTCAGTTCTATAGAGATCACCGCAAAACATCTTTTTTGATAAGAGCTCCCGCAGATCAGCTGTAGTTCCCTCCCAAATGAATATTTTTACTACTAGTAGGTCTTAAAATACCGTTAAAAGATAGCATATGTGTACAAATTTTTCGATCAAGAAATTTAAAAGTTTTTTCAGAAAAAATTTTGGAAAATTTGCTTTTTTCGGCTTTTAACTTTACCTCTGAAGGAGGTATTCTAGTCTAGAAATATGAAAAAATCTACTTTTGCATATTTTCAATATTTAAACCGTCAAAAATATAGCCTTTAACGGATTTTTAAGAATTCATATTATTTTCAGAGATACAGCGGATTTTTTGACGTGGCGTCAAAACCGGCCGAGCGGAGCGAACCACACAAAAACGGGTTTTCCTCGAAACTATAGTATTTTTTGAGGTGGTTGACATGATATCAGATGTGTATAAGAGACAGGCATTATTGTTTTTGCGAAATTTCTGTGAATGC